CGACTCATTTCGCTTCAATATTCAGGAATGCTCTCGATCTTTTTACGCTTTCATTGCCTCTCGCCCGACATGTTTTGCACGGCGTTTGGTCATGCGAAACCTCCACGAAACATCCACGCCTCGCGCGAGGTAAGTTTATCCCGATTCTAAAAATAACTCGAGACGAATTACCTATGGAATAGGGTGTATATGGGGGATGGCCTCTCTGTCCCCTTTATAGTCTCTTGCTGATCATGAAGAGTGGTCATTTGTAGTTAGGGCCTACGGCGGAGAGAAGAACATCGGCAGAAATAAGCAAATACAAAGAAAAATGGTATTTTATTGTTTGTTACGGTTTTTTGTGCCCGATATATGGTCAGGAATACTCCTGATTTGGTTTGCCTAACCGTCCCGCCACCACCCCAGTGAAAATCAATATAGTGAGAAGGTCCTGGTGTTGGAGACCGCTGACCAGGATAGAATCACTTTGTCTTTGCATTGCCAAACGAAAAATGGCGGGCATGCCTGATGAATTTTCTTCAAACTCGCCGTTATCTTTCGATTTTACCGACGGTCTACTCGACGATGATGTTGCCCAAAAAATGAGAATTCCACAAAAAATCACCGTAGCTGGGGACGAAGAGGAATATCCGGCTAGTGCAGCGACAGGTACCTCGGGGGCAGCCATGACATCGTCAATGATGGCCATTCCAGAACGAATCGAAATCGGCAATTTTGCTTCTCCAGCGAGTGGAATTCCCAAGGATTTAAGAGATAATTTGGGGAGTGTGAATTCTAAGAGTAGTATGGTAACTCCACCACGAACTCTGACTGTTGATGACACAAAGTCAGCACATTATCCCCAAAGGATCGCGACAGCACAGCCTTCGCCGATTCGTGGAACAGGTGAGAGAGGGGCTTTTGCTGCTAAATTCGTGGAAGATGAAAGGTAAGCCTGTCGTTACGCTGAATTAAAGAATTTTTTTACCTTAGTGATTTCTTTCTTTCTTTTCTAGTGCATCGTAGCCTTTGTGTTTTAGTACTCAAATTATATTATTAAATTTTAGAATACACAATTTTGATATTGTTTGTGCTATGTGAAAATAAAAACATTTGAATATCCGGCCTCTACATTCCAATATACACATCTTTAAGTGTTGGTCTCGCAGTCTTGCAGTCGTGAACATTTACATTAAAAAAATGAATAAATGTAGTCGAACTTTATGTGTATGATTTTTGTGTATGAATTGATTCTTCGTTGTGTAGGCTTTGAGAGGCTCTCAAGTACACTGATGTCAAATTGAGTAATAATTCCTTTGCTACTGAGTGAAGTAAATTCCCATATTTCTTGACTAAAGAAATGTAGGATTGACCATAGAAGTAGTCATCCCACTTACCTTTTTAAAACAACCAATTTTTAGAGATTCATCAACTACAAGCCTTTAGGGCTGCATTTATCATATTTTAATTTGGATCATAATTTAACATTTCTTAGAAACTGCCCACCTCCCCCTCCCCTAAGCCAACATTAACATTTATTTCTCGTTTTGGGGAAAATGTTGGCTTAGGGGAGGGGTAGGTGGGTAGTTTCCCAGAAACATATATCCCTTAATTTTTCTGATTTGATAGCATGCCATTCAACAATATAATTCAAAACTGTGCTTATTTTTTAGTATTGCTGTTGGTCTTGAAGTTATTGAAGAAGGCACACCACTTGATAGTGACGGTGAAGTTGGTCATTACATGGGCAATGACCTGTCAGACACCAGGAAGTGCTTGATTCAGGTGCAACAGTTAAACCGCAGAGTGCGAGATCTTGAGAGAGACTTGCAGAGAAATACAGTTGGATTCTGGTCCAAGCTCGCTTTCTTTGCTTTTACAATCATCAACCCCATTATACTCCACTGGCTTTTGTGGAAAAGAAGATGAACAGTGATTGATAATAAAGCAGATAAAGTTGCTGGTCTGATAAAGAAACAATAACAAAGAGAAAAAACCGTTGTAAATATATTTGAGCACTCAGTAACGATAGGAGATTCTTTGGTTTTGCTTGGGTATCACTAGGCTGAGAAACTGCAGCAAGATGCAGATATGATACTTCTATGACCTTCATACTGGTTCTTTTATTGAAGGGGTGCCTGGTATTTCAAAAGTGACTTCTGATTATGCTAATTCTCCTTCAAATTGCCTTCCATTCAGTATGAAAGCAGTCTGGAGGAAAACTATGTAGACTGGATAACAGATAGGTTAAGGTAGATGGGCATAGCTTAGCCTCACATGGCAGGTCATTTAGAAAGTAGTCTTGTTTCATAATCCCCCAGGGAAATGGAGCATGATATCAATAATAGTAAGGCCATGTCCAAGTGGAATGTCCCTTTCTTTGGCAAAAGTTTGAAGGAAATGGTGCATTCTGCTCTGAGATAAGGTTAATAAGCTTTAAAGCCCTTAATAAACATTAGAGTTCTAATCAATAAAACTGTTGTGGTTAAAAAAATTTGTGAGTTTGTTTTTTAAAAAAGTTCACCCTTTTGAAACGATGTAATTAGTGGTATTTTTTGTTGCTACTGTGAGTACCCTTCAAAGTAAACAAAGTACAGTCAAACAGTAACCTCTTTAATACGGACACCAAAGGGACAGAACCAAGTGTCCGCTTCACAGAGGTGTCCATTTTATAGGGGTAGGGAATGTATGATTTTTGGCAGTTCTGGGACCAAACAAACTGTCTGTAATGGAGAGGTGTCTGTATTGTAGAGATGTTCATAAGGAGAGGTTATACCGTAGTCCCATTTTGCATAACAAGTGCCAAATCATTTTTCATGCTTACTTGCCCTTGGAAGGGTCCACTGGCAAAAGTCATGTTCCAACCAATTCATTTAGAACACAAAACCATGCAACTGTCCTGGTCAAGTGAAATTTAAGAGCTGTCAATCATGTTTTGTTTTTTGTTTTTTTATCAAGGACTGGCCACACCCAAACAAACTTGCCATATATCTTTAATAATACAATTTCAACAATTTCAACAGCTGCCTTTCCCATAGGCTTGGTAGGGAGCACAGATTTTTAGAGTGGGGTGTTGAAGATGAGCAAGTGCAAGTGGGGAATGAGCACAGAACATAGCAAATAGTGGTCACGACCTTTGCCCCCATTTTTCCTTAACCCTTTAAGCCCAAATATCAAAATTGAAATTCCCATTTGTTGCCCCTATACGTTTCCTATAGAAGTAGTAGTGAGAAGTTGTTGAAGTATCAACTCATTGTATCTATCTTGTGTGATCATGTCTTCAAATCTCATCAACAATCTGTTTTATAAAGCATTGATACCGATCCTCCTTTACAGGCGGATTGCTTCTCGACAAGGTATTATTTTGTGCGACTTCAGGATTTTAGACTCCCTTGGACAGACAGTGGGGGCGGGGGTGGTTGCCACTCCACTCTGAGGTTTTTCTGATTTTCACTCTAAAAGATAAAACATTGAGCGCTCACCATTTGTGTGGAAAACCCGGAAATTCCTGGGAGACTATGGAACGGTTCATCCCGGTGGAAATTTTGCGGAAAAAAGTAATACCTTTCAAGGTATTTCCTTTTTCCCGCTTTTACCACCCTCACGCGCCCAAAAAATACCAGTACCATTTGACGGAAATTTTCCACCAAAACTTTTCGTGCAAATTGTAAGCGCTCATAGGCACCTGTCTTTTAGAGTAGCTGTTCCTTTATCCCTCGCGTGCATTTGGAGACAAGTTTAGTGATGGTCAGTTACTAGCGAAGCGGAGCACCAAGGATAAGAAAATTTGGTAACCTATGCACGCCCGCCCGCCCATTAGTCTGCAACACAGGCATACCAATGTAAAATAACTCAATCGACAGGTATTGCAACCCAAATTCAACTCAAGGTTTTATTTGGAAGGAAATCGCATGGCCGCCCGGGTTTTTGGAAAGAAAAACAAGTTATTTTTTATGTTTACACTCTCGTGGATAACAGAGAAAGAGCTAGAGTGAATTTCGTAGAAACAAAAACATGAAAATTGAAAGCGGTGGTGAGAAAATGAGAAATGCTAGCGGCTAGCAAGGAGCGGCCAGCAAGTTGTAAATGAGGGCCAGTGAAAAATAAAAGCAAGCATGAACACAGGAAACAAAATATCTGAATATTGGGTAAGCACATACAACTATTCTACATAAAAAAATGTGCATGTGTAACTAGGAAGTTTTTAGAAGGAAGGAAGGTTTTAGTCGTACAAAACAGCGTTGTAGTCGTGCAAAACAACGGCAAAGAAAGAGAAAAATGCGTGCTGCACGTGCAAATTTGGTTTTTTTGCTAATTAGAAGAAAAAGTGTGTTGCACGTGCAAATTTTAGTTGTTTTGCCATCCCCGTTTAACATTAGACGATTTAACTTTTTTTGTTTATAAGTATTGTTAACCAGAGCTTCGCTTTAATTTAGCCCTGGGTAAATCTATATATTAGCGGAGCTCTACGCCCACCACAGGCGTAGCCCCATACCTAGAAAAATGTGGTAATCTACCCATCCGAGAAATTTTGGTAATCACGTGACCGTACGCTCGACCGTCCGTCCGTCCTCACCACAGGCATACCAGGGTAAAATAACTCAATTAACAGGTATTGCAACCCAAATGCAACGTGAGGTTATTTTGGCGGGAAACTGCATAGCCACCCGCGTCTTGTAAAGCAGAGACAACTAAAGAGTCAATAAAGAAGAAAACGGAAAGCGGAAATTGTTTCTGTATCCGTGTTGTTTAAAGTATTAAGCTTCTAAGATTAATTGTCATGTCCACAAATTTGGAATATAGAGAAAGAGAAAGGCAGAAAAAAAGAGAAAGCAGGCGACAGGCCAGCGAAGCTCAACGAGAAAAAGAGCGACAAAGAACTAGAGCGAAAGATATAAAAAAGGAGGACATTCTTTGTTGGAAGGACAAGATGGAAAATTTGTAGCGGCGACCAGAAAATGAGAAATGCTAGCGGCCACCAAGGTGAAATTGAGCGGCAGTAAAAAAAAGAAAAAAAAAATAGTGAACAAGAAACACGTACGACATTTCCTTCATTAAACGTGTAACTTGAAAGTTTCTGGAAGTTTCACGTTGTAGTCGCGCAAAAAAACGGCAAAGACTGAAATGTACAAAAAAAGTGTGCTGCACGTGCAAAGTTGTTTTTTTGCTAATTAGACCTATTGTTGTTTTTTTGCCATTCTTGTTGCCGTACACGATTTTATATTTTGTTTGAGCAAACTATAAATATTATCGAGAGCTTCGCTTTCAGGGCTAAATCTGTATATCATGTTTAGAAAATATGACGTTATAAGTAGCAGGTGGTCAAGCCATTTTTGAGTGAAAATCAATGTTTTTCAACGTCTTTCAGCAATAAAAGTAAAGCTTGTGGCTAACATTATGCAAAGGGCTTATTTATGTGTAGTTTTTTCTGTCAAGTACAAAATATTACCACTTTTCGTGGCTTTAGCCTGATTTCTCACTTCAGAATGAAGTAGAGCACGTGCCGAAACGCGTGGACAGGCGGCTAAAACGAGTAAGACTGGAACTACTATCCAAAATGGCGGCCATTGTTGATAACTTGGACTCTACAAGTACAGCGCCACAAAAGACCCCAAAAGGTTAGTTTTTGTCTGTCTGTTTGTCTTTCCTTTCTTGAAACAGAAAGGCTGTCTTTTTAAGGGCTTCAGTGATGATCTGTAACTTACGTTTGACGGTTTCTGGTGTCTGAGGTCTCATCCTTGTAGACATGTGTGTTGGATGAACAAAATTAATCAATTTGAACAAGAAACTAGGCATGAGTGTACAGTTGATCTGTCGACATCATATAAGGAAACGAAACAGTACATTAATTTTAGTCTTTTTTTCTCTGTGCGGGTAAAGATTGACTCGTATGTCCTAAGTTATTTCGCTTGGTACAAAGAACCTTTGTCACAGAAGTGACGTAAGAATGCAAATGCCTGACCCATGTCATCGGTTTACCCCAGGGGTAGAACCCCGGGCCAACCAGGGGAATAATTAAGTAAGTGGAGGAAAGTTAAGAATTTTAACGCAGGGGAGGGGGAGCCTACCAATTATTCAAGACAAATCCCCTGGGTCAAGAGCTTTTCAAAGAAACATCTTGCTGATATCCATCACAAATGTAGTAACTGGGTTTCATAATTTAATTTTGGGGACTTAATGTAATACCAGGGGTGAAGCGTGACCATTTGGACAAGTACGCACAAGAGTCCATATGGTCTTAAAAGCTTCATACAAAATAACGTGTTTTTGCTTTCCTTTAATACGAAACTGACAGTTCACAGGCTTGTTTACAATAGAACGTGATACCAAAAAAGCTTTTAAAATGTTCTTCATTGAGCTGGTACAGGAATACATATCTCTAAAGTTTGTCATTGAAAAAATACTACATCTGTTCACTAGGAGTAAGTTTCCTGCAAAATTCTTGTTGATAAAAAATGTGCAGCATTTTACGTGGATTATTGTTGGCATGGTTTGACCATCCATGATTTTCCAGTTGACCAAAATTTAAGTAGTCTTTAACAGACTTTTTTGAGATTTATGGAGAGAGAGATACAAAACTAAAAAAATCAAAAGGTTTTGATTTGGAAAACTTTCCAGATAAATCTTAAAAGGAGTGATAATCAGTCAGGGTCGATTCTTTTCCTATTTTTGTTTCCACTTTGCACTGATTGACGGAAATCTGAAAACTCAGTCAATATCTAGGGAGCCACAGGGAACTGGCGGTGGAATTTAAATTGCAGAGATGAAGTTGCAAGTTCTTCTTCCTTTTCCTGCCCCACTGTCAGAGTGCCCCAGAGAGCTTGCTCACAGGTTCTTATCCTGAGTAAGCTGCAAACAGGCACAAAGTTGCCATACTAAGTAACTACCCCTGGATTTACGCTTAAATCGTTTGTCTACATGCTTATAGGTTATTTGAATTGTGAATT